ATTAGTCTATTTGTCTATCCATGTGTCATCACTGTGCCTTAATTATTAAAGTTTTATAAAAAAAAATCTTGTTATCTGGTAAGTCAAGCCTTCTCCTCCTTTACCTTACAAAATCATCTTGGTTATTTTTTGCCTTTCATTCTTTTATCTAAATTTTAGCATCAGTTTTTGGCAACCCATAGAAAATCCTGCCACATTTCTTATTGGAATTGCATTGACTTTATAGATTAATTGGGGGAGACTGCATCTTTAAGAAACTGAGCCTTCCTATTCATGATCTAATATATCTTTCCATATGCCTTAACAACTTTTACATATTTTTATTTTCTCCTTAAAGATCACACAAATCTTTTGTTAGATTTGCCTATAAATTTTTTTATATTTTGTTTTTAGAAGTGCTATCCTTTTTGTTGCTGATATATTAACTATAATTTTATTTAATCATATATCCGGCAAACTTGCTGGACTTATTTATTAACTATTAATTAGTATTAACATTATTATTTTCAGATTCCTTTGGGATTTCTATGCAAAAATCATATCACCTGTGAATAAAAAAAAATTTTTTAACTTTCTTATATTATACATTAGCTAAGACTCCAATACAAGTCTTATCAATAATAACTGGAATACACTTTTAAAGGGAACACTGCTAAAGTTTCACCACTAAGTGCGAATATGGCATAGGTTTTTCACAGGTACCCTTAATAAGGTTAGAAATAAATTCTTTCTATTCCTAGTTTGCTAAGTTTTTATCATGAAGAATAATCATGATAAACTTTTCTTCTGCATCTCTTGAAATGATCTTACTGGGGTTTTTTTTTCTCCTTTAATATTTTAAGCTGATTAATAAAATGTGTTTTTTCTAATACTTACATTCCTGGAAAAAAAAATCCAATTTGGGACATTATCTTTTACATACATTTTTAAAATTCAGTTCCCTAACATTCTGTTTGGAATTTCTGTGTCCAAATTTGTAACACTGGGTGTCATTTTCCTTTTTCATACTGTCCTTCTTTAGTTTTAGCATGAAGGTTCACAAAATAATCTGTGGGCAGGGCAGATGAACTCATTTATCTAATTAGTGAAAGTGTTTTATATGTTTGAAATCATATCTTCCATGAGTATAAAGCCATCTAGTCCAGGTTAATTTGTTTTGGGAAATGAAAAATTTTAACTACTAATTTTAAAGTACTAATTCAACACTTCATAGCCATTAAAGGACATATATGAACATATAAAGAGCATTTCAGGTTTTTCCTTTTTTTAGTGAGAGTCAGTTTGGTAATATTTTTTCTAGAAAGTTGCACTTATCTCAGCGAGGTTTTCAAATTTATTGGCAAAAAATGATTAGGATTCTGATATCTGTATCTGTAATTTCCCTTTTTAATTACTAACATGATTTTTGGGGCTTCTGTTTATCTTGTTTGTCTCATGAAGAAAGTTATTTTATAATAATTTTCTAAGACCTAACTTTTGGCTTTGTTGATACTTTCTATTGAATCTTTGTTTTCTATCTCATTCATTTTTGTTATCTTTATATTTCCTTTTATCTACTTTCCATCATTTTTCCTGCTCTTTTGATTTTATTCTGTTGCTCTTTTCTAACAGGCCAGCTCATTAATTTTTAATACCGAGATATAATTCATGTACCATAAAATTCACTGTTTTAAACTGTAGAATTCAGTGGCAGGGGAAGTTAGTTTTGAGTATTTATAAGCTTTGTTTTTTTATTGTGATAAAATATACATACCCTGAAATTTATCATTTTTAATCATTTTTAGGTATACAATTTAGTGGAAATAAGTACATTTACAATATTGTGCAACCATCACCATTATCTACCTCCAGAACTATTTCATCTCAAACAGAAACTCTGTGC